GATTTTAATTATTCCACTTTTTTGAGAATAATATTCTATTTAACATACTTTTGTGCCAGCCCCAAGTCTAGCACAAATATTAAAGTAAATAAATATTATCTTAAAATCTTTTTAAAAGAGATTTTAATCCCATTTTTGATCAATTTCAATTAAATCATACATTTTATGATACGAAAACTTGCTTTTCAATTATATGACAAATATAATTAATATTAATTTAAAATATATAATTAATCATACCAAAATAAACCAAATTTACTTAGGTATTCTTATGCAAATGTTGTTTTGATTCAAAAGAATATTTTCGGCAAAAGAGTTTTCTGTTCGAATACCTTTGACTCTATATGGAAAATATCCCTAACATGCTCTAAGCTGTTCCTTAATAATAATATGGCCCTCTTTTTTGGTTCCAAAATAGATTTGAAAGAATACTATTTTGTTATCAACATTTTCGGCACTTTATCAAAATTAGTCTAGGAAATTTGAATTTAGAAATTGTTTTAATTCCAATTATTGTATAACAAGTTTGATACACTTTTTAATTTTATGTCAAGGGACCTTTTCTTTTCATTTGGTGTTGGAATAAGAGGGTCAGGGTATACCCTAGTCGAGAGATCCCGACTAGAACTTCTGACTTGTTATAATTTTATTTTAGTTGTATTGCTTTTAAATATTTAATTAGCTCGAGCGGAAATATTTAAAAATGGGAATGTCGCCAAAATGAACAAAAAATGTAATTTAATTTAAAATATTCGACTTTATGATGCATTTTCAGTCCAAATAACAAATCAAAATGCGAATACGAATTTAAAAAAAAAAAAAATTGATTTAGATTTGTTTTCATATGCCTGCCTCCTGCTCAGAAGCTGATGAATAGTTCCTGCAGAAGCGGAAAACTGGTTTGATAGCGAGTTTTTGAAAACGTCTCTTTTAAGAGAACTGCGTGAAGAAGAAGAAGTAAAAGTGAAGCCGAGGGTGCAACTGCGATCTTCGAGGCGAGCATTTGATAATTTGCAACTATTTGTGAGTGTCGGTTAATTCAATCGTTTCGCGCTGAAACCTCAATTGCAATCAGCTTGTGGACCGGTTTTACCATCCTTGGCCAACACACAAACACACATGAGACAGAGAGTAAGAGAGAATGTGTAAGAGAGAGAGAGAGAGAGAGAGGAAGCGTCAGTTAGGGGCCTGGACTTGACGACCTTCAGATTGGCTCACAAAAGAGCGCGAAGCTCCCACACTTCACGCTCATTCAGTTGGAAATCTGAGCATCTGTCAAATGAAAAAACAACAACAAGCTGTACAGATTGATATATATATTTATGTATCTGTATATAAATGCAAAGCACATTTGTCTATCCTTTGGCGCTCTTTTGGGTTATATTCGCATTTTTTTTGCTGTGACGTCAAATTACGCCAAATTCACAATTGTCGCAAGTTGATTACGATTTGACACCCCTCGCCCATAGCTAGCGCCTACCGCCACCCACCTTCAGGCATCCCTTGGCCAAGCAGCATGCTTTTGCTCCGCACTGCTTTGCCGACTTTGTCATAAGAGTGAGAGCGCCAAGTGCCAAGTGCCGAGTGCTGAGTGCTGAGTGTGCGAGCGAGATGCGCTCTTGCTCTAGCCCACTCGCACTCATTCACTCACTCTCTCGCTCGCTCGCTTGTACGTTCGCTCGCTCTCTCTCTCGCGCTCACTCAGAGCCATGCGCGGCCATCCGTTGGCTTTGACCAATGCTGTCTTTTTTCGAACGGGTAGGGCCGCAGCAGGCGTCGGGCGACGGACGCGGCTGCCGACGACAGCGACGACGACAACGACGAAAACGACAACGATGCCGGGCGACACATTTCACTGTGTCACATCTGCTGTGTGTGGTGTGTGGCGGGTAGAGGCGGGGAGGGGGCGGCGCGGGTCGATTGAGGCGAAGGTGGCCACGCCGACCGCGACATTACCGCACTCGGCACTCATCATGGTGCTCCATTGGCTGCCGTCGCAGTTGTTTCTTGATGTTGTTGTTGTTAAATGCGTGTGAGAAAAGGAGCGCTCTATGGCCATAGCTATATATACATACATATATATAGACATATATCGATATGCATATATATACATATATACATATATTTATATATGTGCGAGTCTATGACTCGCTTTTGGAATGTTAACGATTGCGACTTCTCTCAAGCAGTTGATAAATAACGGGACAAAAATTTAGGATCAGCCAATAAAAGAGCGCAGGCCACGCTGAGGGAGCGCTGGGGGGGGAGTGGCAAAGGAGCTGCTCCAGGACCTTCAGTTGCTACCAAATACAAATTATATACTTAGAAAGAAAAAAGTAGCCAGGAGTATCGAGAGCTATTTTTAGCGCATTTCTTAAAGCTACACATATATTGGCAAACTCTTATATATATATATATATATAGTAAAAGTATATATATAATATGATACAGATGGCAATAGCATGTTTTGGTAACTTTCAATTGCAAATCTCTTGGCTTAAGATAATAACCGAGCCGCAAGTTAATAGATCGAAAAGTTGACCAAAATTTGGATTTATTTGCAAAAGAACTTCTTAAATATATTTAAATTGGGCCAAATAAAAATACGTGTAAATACATTAGTATCCGCTTGCGAACGAATGGAAAAACAACCATTAAATCACTCTCAAATATTTAGAATAAAATATCAGTAAATATTTCTATTGATTATTATTATTATTATTATTGTTATTATTATTATTGTTATTATTAATATTTCTTATTATTATTATTATTATTATTATTATTATTATGATTATTATTATTATTATTTCTTCTTATTATTATTATTATAACCGATAGCTTATTAAAAAGGGTAAAGGAGTTTATTGTCGACCATTAATAAGTAAATAAATGAATATGAATTTGTATAAAACAAATTAAATACAAATCAGAAAACAATTCTGAAAACTATCTCAACTCTTAATAGGTTTTTTATAATTTGGATTTGTAAATTGCTCAAAGTTAAAAACATAAATAAATGAAAGTGAACACTTTTAAAGAGTTTAAAAATAAATAAATTTAATTAAATCTATTAATCAATGTATTTATTAAAAGGTCGTTAAATGCTGTTGCCCGAACTTCAGATATATTATCAATGGATTTTGGAATCGAACCAGCTGTCAAATATTTTTAATCGATTAACAATCGATGAACTGCTGACGGCATTCGATATCTAATGCGATCTATTGAATTATTCACTTGATTTTTAGCTAATTGCATCGGCAATTAAAACAATTCGAAGGAATTTCCATTCTGTGAGGCCGATGAGAGTCTGATCACATATATATATATATTTATATATATGCATATGTATGTGTGTGTGTGTGTGTGTGTGTGTGTGTGTGTGTGTGTGTGTGTGTGTGTGTGTGTGTGTGTGTGTGTGTGTGTGTGTGACATATGCTCATGTGCTGTCTGCTGATAAATGGGAACAGATTTTGTGGCTAAGAAATCGCTTAAAGTGGTTTAATTAAATTTGATTTGATTTTTGTTCGTTTTTGGCTGCAGCGCCAGCAAAAGGCGACACCCCACCCCCCCCCATCTGCAGAGCATACAAATATATGTAAGTATATATGTATTTGGTGCATATATACAAATAAAGATACAAACAATCACACATAGTGCACTTAAAGCTGAGATGTCCAGATACACAAATCGAGATAAATGTATATGCATAGATACATATGTAAATGTATATATAGCTGGCACCCAGGGACCATTTTCGACCACAATGTATGTGTGTGCGTGTGTGTGTGTGTGTGTGTGTGCGTGTTTGTGTGTGTGGGTGTGCGGGTGCGGGTAGGTTGGGGGTTGGATTGTAGATTGGGCAACGGCTGAATTTTGTGCTTGTGCTCGTAATTAATTATTTCATTAGTGCACACTTGATTCGAACCAAACCCCAAACTGCCCGCCCCTCCCCTTGCCCAACAACGGTCACTAGAATCATTTGGCCATTGGGCAGCGGCTGCAACGGCCAGCATGATCTATGCATGCCCTACAGTGCAAAGATTATGTTATGTTCTATGTGAGTTTAAAGTAAATTTTAATATTTTAATAATAGTCAAACTATGCTGCTTAGCTGTCCCTAATTGCGTATACCTAATATATTATAGAATTTTTATTAATATGCATAGTCAAAATTTCATATATAAGTATATGTAAATACGCACACTTGAAAAATTGTACTTAATTATTAAAAATATTTCGCTAATAATTCAAATAAATTATAAATATCAAACCATGTTTAGCATAATTCATTTATTCAGTATATTAGCCCACCGAATTGTGTAGGGTGCACGCGTAGCGCAGAGAGTCGCAGGCAGACATCAAAGAGTTTTGTGCGCTCTTAAGAGCAAACGAACGTGGGAACGTGGCGTATGGCTGACGTTGATTTCAATTTTGAACTGCTTGCTCGTCGTTGGCTCTCTGCACACCAATACCAATGTGTATTTTTACTGTGCGCTAGTGTGTGCATGCTGCTCATGGGCTGGGCATGAGCGAGAGTGAGGGAGCAAGCAATACAACACGCACAGAAGCGAATGGACACTTGCGGCGCCAGTACATGTATTGGTGTGCCTGTCTTTTTGTATGTGTGTGCGTACATGTAAGGGTGTGTGCTTGTGTGCGGGCTGGCCGCCACCAGTGGCCGTTCAGCTAATGCATGAGACGGCGTGTGTGAGAGCATCTTTGCTTGTGTGTGTGTATTTATTTGACGCTTATGCTATCTTTACTCGCCGCTAGGTGGGTCTCGGTCTCCGAGTCCAAGCACGAGCGCCAAACACTGTCCAGGCCCAGCAACAACGACGTCGACAGCAACAACAGCAGCAGCAGCAGCAGCAGCAGCAGAGGCAGCGCCAGCGTCAGCAGCAACAAGAGCAGCAGCAGCAGCAACCGCGACGGCGACGTACGCTGGATGTGATTTCAAATAGTAAAGTCGAGTTGCCGCTGCCGCATCGCCATCGCAATCGCATCGCAATCGTAATCGCCGTCGCCGTCGCCGCCGCCGTCGTCGTCGTCGTCGTCTTTGTCGTCTCTCTTGTGAACTGCTTACCGATATTTTGGCTTGTCGCCGTCCTCGTCGTCGTCGCGGCCGCCGCTGTTGCTGTAGCTGTAGCTGTAGCTGTGGTGGCTGTGGCTGCACTGTCGCCCCCACCGGCTCTGGCTGCGCTGCTGCCACTGCCACTGCCACTGCCACCGTCGCTGTCGTTGGCGTTGTCGTTGTCGCTGCTGTCGCTTCTCGTTGTCGTTTTGTGTATGTTCTTCTTCTGTACGTTGTGTTCTGTTCTGTTGCGTTGTGTTGTGTTGTGTTGCGTTCTGTTTCTGTTTCTGTTTTGTTGTTGTTGCTGTTGCGCGCGCGCGTCTTGTTTTGCCGTCGCTAAAACGGCAAAACGCAGAACAACTGAAAATTACGAGTACAACAAACAAAAATAAAAATAAAAGTAAAAATAACAAAATAGCAGAAGAAAAAAAAAAAAACAACGTAAAAAACATTTCATGTCGAGTTCGTTTTTAATTTTATAAATTATTTAATTTTTTTCTATTAATTTTGATTTTTTTTTTTTTGCTGTGAACAAAAATCAAGCAACAATTTACCGTATTAGTTGAAAAGCTTTTGCAACAATTTTTTTTATTGTGTTTGTTTTTGTTATTGCTGTGCAACAAATAGAAAAGAAAGGAAAAAAAAAAAGAAGAGAAAAACCATGTGATAAATGCGAAATGCAAATGCATTAAATGTGCTGCAAGTGAAACTTGGACATAGCATAAAAACTGCCCCTAACTCTCTTATGTACAAACACACACCCTCCGCCCACACACACACACACACACACACTGACACACACACACTGACACAGCTGTATGTAGTCCTTGGCTATGTACTGAACGCGCATAAAAAATGACTACCCTCAATTGTCGCCACTGGCTGGCACAGTCCAACAGGAGTTGTTGTAGGGGTCGCGCTCGTCGTTTAACGACAACGTTCTCGCTCTGCTCGCTGCTGTCCTGCACCACCTACTCCACAGTTACTCCTATTCCTACACTGCTTGCTTTTGGCTTGCATTCCAATTGCCATGCTCTCGCTCCCACTCGTGCATAAGCACATGCACACACATACACACAGTCGCACTCACACATACACAAGTGTCGCGCGTCGTTTGTCGCTTGTCGCTGCCTCTGCTTCTGCTGCTGCTGCTGCTGCTGCTGCTGTTGTCGTTGCCGTCGCCTTTTGCCTCTTCTGCTTCGTCATTTTGTGCGTCCTCTGGATTGGTTTCGGCGTTTCAATTGCGTTCGTTTTTTATTCTACCTCCCCCTCTCATTCTGCTGTCGTGTAAGTGTCTGTGTCCACTGTGTGTGTGTGTGTGTTTGTTCTCGATTCGATTGGATTACATAGTCGTTGTCGTTGTCGTCGTTTCTGCTGTCGCCTGCCTCGAGTTACTCCGTGTGGCTGCGTACAATTTTTTTTTTTTGCTGTCCCTCAGCATCTGCAGCGCCAACGACGCCGCCCGCCCCAATGCCATGTCGCACGACGACGACATTTCGTTTTTTGAGATTCGCTTTTTGCGTATATCGTGCATGTGTGCGTGTATGTGTGTGCGTGTGTGTGTGTGTGTGTGTGTGTGTGTGTGCGTAGCTCGCTCTGTGCATGTGTGTGTGTGTGTGTGTGTTCTTTAATATTGTCGTCGAGTGTCATTGGTCGAAGGCAAACGTGCGCAGCGCTGCCAGCGTCGACGTCGTCGCATATTGTCGCAAAACCTTCGTCTCAGCACGTTTTTTTTCCTGTCTGTTTTTTCTGTTGTTGTTTTTATTGGCTTTTAGCTTGCTGCTGCTGCTGCTGCTGCTGCTGTTGCTGCGGCTTTTTATTAGAATCCGTGTGGAGAGGGGAGTTGCGGCTACAAATGGGCTGCCTGGTGGCCGAGCGAGTTTTAGGGCTAGGCGGCGCAGCATGAGAGGGGGCGTGTGCACCCAAGTAGCCGAATGAGTTTTTGATTGTGTGTGTCGTCGTTGTTGTCGGGTGCGGGTGTGTGTTTGTTGTTTGTGTCGTTGTCGTTGTCGTTGTCGTTGTCCTCTCTCTCCCAGTGTGTGTGTGTGTGTGTGTGCGTGAGAGCGAGCGAGAGCGCATTAGCTGCATATACAGATATGCATGCACGTGTAAACGTGTGTGTGTGTGTGTGTGTGTGTGTGTGTGTGTGTGTGTGTGTGTGTGTGTGTGTGTGTGTGCGTCTGAGAGCGAGTGCAAAGTGCACAAAAGTTTTGCCAAGCAAAAATGGCGACAACAGCAGCGACAACAACACGACAACGTGCAATAGCAGCAGCCGCAGCCGCAGCAGAAGCAAACGTCGCCGTCGCCGTTGCCGTTGCCGTTGCCGCCGCAACAAATTTTGTGTCGTGCGATTTTATAACCGTTTTCAAAAGCGGCGGCGTTGCTGCTTCTGCCTGTCGCACAAAACGGACGCGGACGGACAACAACAACACAAAAACAACAACAACAACAACACGCAACGTGCAACAATAGCGACAGCAACAAAGCGAATAATTACAATAATAATAATATTAACACAAATGAGAATATCAATAAAAATATTATAGAAAAAAACACGCTGCAAAAAAAACTGCATCAAATAAATGTTAAAGTGTGTGTGTGTGAGTGTGTGTGTGTGTGTGTGTTTGTGTGTGGGTGCTAAACAGTTGATTTTTCAGGCAGCAAAGAACAAAACATTGAACTCGTTTTTGGCGCTCCATTTTCTAACACGCATCTAATAAACGCAACAATAACATCAATTTTACAGTTAACCCACAACAATAACAACAACAACAACAACAACAACGACAACAAGAAAGCGAAAAAAAAAACAAGCACATTATCATAAACACAAACATAAACATAATTATAATTATGATGTGATCAGAATTAACAGCAGCTCCGGCAAAAGGTGCAAAGATGTGAAAAGCTAACAACAACAAAAAAAAAGGGAAAATCAGAAGAAAAAAATGTAATAAAGAAATGAAATAAAAAGGAAATTCAAGCAACGAATAGAAGTAAATATATGAAAAAAAAAGAATAACAAAAGAAAATGCTCAACATTGCAATAACAGATAAGCAAAGGCAATACAAATACAACAACAACAACGACAAGTACACACAGGCATATGCCCATGTATGTGCGTGTGCGTGCATGTGTGTGTATGTGTGAGCATCTACGCGCGATAACTAATCGAGTTTAACACCGAAGCACATCAGCAAATTGATGAAACAACGAGAACAACTCTAACAACAATTTTGCAAAACAACAATTAAAACAACAACAACAACGTCAAATCCACCAACAACAATACCAATTACAAGCACCTATTCTAAGCGTACTACAATAACTAACAGAAAATAAAAGAAAACAAAGCATAAAACAAAGAATTAAACACAAGCACAGGGAGTTTACAAGGAAAACAACTTCAAACTCAGGTGGGTTTCAGCTTCCTTCTTTTTATCTTACGAGAGAGCATTCGGCATAAGTACTTGGTACCTTATCCAAGTTGTGCCACGTGTGGTATACGTAATGCGAGCAGCTATTGGAATACTCTTCCCTCTTCAGTTTACAATAAGAATATATATTTTTGACAAATTAAAGTCCAGCTAATACAATATTAAATTACTTAATAATATCATAATAATATCAAAAATATATATAATTAATAGTAAACCATAAACAATTCAAATTTGACATTTTTAAGGCGATTTATACAATTTAGGCATATTTTTAGAATTTTAACCAGTTTCCAAGATAGAAATGAATATGAAATGGGAATATATGAGAATATCGAGCATATATTTCACATATTCAAGCAGAGGCAATAATTCTTTCTGATTATATAATGCTTATTGAAACGTAATTCTTGACTCTAGTCTTGAGGTGCCAACACTTGTCGTTGTCCTCTAACTAACTTATACTATATGTTAGGCATATTAGTACAAACATTTTAGCACATCTTCAAAGAAAAGAAATGCAAGAAACCCCATCTATTATATTTATAAAGTTGATATGATATTGCAATCAATTTATGTAAATGTTATGCTAGCCTAGCCTGTCTTCCGAAATGGTTTTTGATGTGTTCATGTGTATTTATTCCATGGAACAGATAATGTGTATATATATATATATATATATATATATAGAGGTACATATATATGCATGTATATTTTTTATACAGAGGCACTGCGATTCGCATTTGAAAACTTCCGAGTTCTTATTTTAAGCCCAACTTGAATTTTAGACCCTTTTCTTCACAGAAAATCAGTATATAAGGTTTGCCTTAAGCCTTGGCTTAAGCAGAAAATACTTATTGCAGCGATTAACTATTTTAAGCAGTTAGATAATAATAATAAATATGTCAATATGCTTTCTAAGCCAGCCAACACATCATTCTTTTTTTCCCAACTATCACATTGAAAATTGACTTAAATTTACTCGCAAGTTTGTCAAATTTAAAAAGAAAAAGAAAGTATTACCTATAACAAACACTTCTTAAAGATTCTGGCCTTTAATTAAAAGCAAGTTTCAAATGCTGAACTAAGTACTTTCTGCTTAAAGCATGACTTTATATTATTTATTTTTGTTTTTACTTGATTTTAGAATGTGCCCCAACAAAAGTTAGCTGAAAGTCTATGCTGAAAAAGGTCTGTAAATAAACTCAGGTGTAAATTTCAATATTTATTTTATAAGCTTAGTAAACAGAAAGCTTTAAAAAAAAATGCAGAAAAAGTTGCATTATATGGACTCAAATTTGAACTTTGTAGACGATTGTTAACAAAATGTCATACAGTCTGTACCCCAGCCCGTCGACAGCTTGTCGGTGTGCGTGTGTGTGAGTGTGGGATGCCGAGAATTCCGACATTTGCCAGTTGTCTTAATATTTACATTTACATATTTGCCTTTGTCAAATCGCAGAGCTCTAAATAAGCACCACAGAGAGAGAGAGAGGGAGAGAGAGCGAGAGGAAGAAAGGAAGAGTGAGGGAGCGCGGGAAGCCGCAGAGAAAGGCACTGGAGTGGTGCCATGGAGAGATGGAGGAAGGGAGCTGCCAGAGGCACGCCTCGGCCACAGCGTCTATAGCAATAACTATATAGCCATATAATCGCCTGTTCGTGAGCTGTAAACACAGGCATTGTAAATTTACACCATGCTTATAATTAGCAATAGAACGGCAGTTGACTTTTTTTCCAGCGCTATTCTGCTCCCAGTTGTTGTCAGTTAAACAAATATATATGCACATATATAAATATATATATAGACATATGTCCGACACTATATAGACAGATTCAGACGGCTCCACAGCCTCTGCGGCAGGGTTTGCGGCAACTTGTGGTGCTAAAAAATATTACAGACATTGCTGCCAGTGTATAGGCATCTCCCTCTCACTGCCTCTCCTCCCTCCCTCTCTGTCGGCAGTTGGCAGCTGATTTGCCTATGGTTGATTGCCAGCAATAATTGTCGCTCAGGCGTTGACGGTTGACGCCAACTTCAGGGCCCACCAATGCATCAGTGCACCTGCAGCTGCAGCTAACCAGATGCTAAAACCTAGCAACAACAGCAACAACAACAGCAACAACAACAACAATTGAGTTGGCATTGCCCCACCGCAGAGTTGCCCACAAAGATAAATATTGACAAATTGCTGATAAATCATTTATTAGAGTGTCGCCATCTAGCGGCACAAAAAGCAAACACGTTTGCCAGGCTCAGAGAATATATAACCCCTTATATATACAAGTATATAGACATGCATATATCTGACAGAAACCAGATATTGTTTCTTCGCTCTTTTATAGAACTCGCATTTAAGCTTCCCGAAAATCCTTATTTCCTATAACTGTATATACATACGTATATGCATCTCTTAAAAGTCTCGAATAAGCTATTATTTCTAATACGATCCCATGAATTAAAAAAAAAATGTATGCATCTCTTCACATTTGTGTATGGCAATATTTTTAACCAGTTCGGCAAAGCTCTTTTTTCTGTTAAGAAAATATTCTAATAAAACATCCTGAGACTCATATTTTTGAGTCTCTTAGGTAATCCGAAAACCACTTCAATTGCCAATATTTTTCCATCAGCTCTCTATAGTTCTTTAAGTTTTCAATATTCTTAGGATACCTATAAGCAATCTGCTAATCATTTTTATAAAGTAGTTGCTGATCAATTCTCTTTAGTTTTCGCCATTTAAAGATATATTGTAATATATAAAGATATATATCTGTAAGAGTTTCAGATCCGTTCCCAAGATTTTCCATAGGTATCATAAGTGAAATATCTCGCTAAGTTCTTCATAGTTTTTCCATAATTATCGTATCATCAACATTCCCAAAGCTCATCTAAGAGTTTCCCATGAATAACCTATAGATTTTGTTATTTAGTCCTAAAGTTTTATTTTATATAGTTTACCATCAGTTCTCCATAAGTTTCGATATTGATAAGTATTAGAAGGAATCCTAATGATTCTCACCAGTTCTCCATAGTTCTCAATTCTTCATACTCATAATAATCCCCAAGCTTTATCAATTTCATAAAGTTTTTCGCTAATTCTTCTTGTAGTTACATATTCACAGAAATCATAATTAATCCTAAAGCTTCAACAGTTCTCTATTAGTTTCGATATGCATAACTATCATAGGGATTCCTAAAGATCCTTTATCTATATAGTATAGTTTCCCATCAGTTCTCCATATTCATAATTCGCATAATTAATCCCCAAGCTCCATCATTTTCATATAGTCTTGCATTAGTTCTGTATAGTTTCTTAAATGTATACTGTTATTTATTGGATGATGTTCCCCTTCGTTCCTTTATTTGCGGAAAAAATAAGATACGAGATGGATTTCCATCTTCGGCTAACTGAGTGCGGCTCTTGTGCCGGCTATTAATTAGCATATTTCGTCATGAATTAGCAGGCTAAAGCCCAGTACGAGCCCGAGTTATAATGAGGTGGAAAGCTATTCCGATGCAGGCTTAAGTCGGAGCAGGGGAGAGCCCAGATCGTGCCCGGGTGTGTGTTTATAAGTGTGTGTGTGTGTGTGTGTGTGTGTGTGTGTGTGTGTGTGTGTAAGTGATACCCTCGTACTCATACCCCTTTGCTAAAGTCCTCGCCCTCGCGGCAGGACAATAATCATTTTGCACGCTCTGACCAAATCGAGTTGAGTGTGGAGTGGAGTGCAGTTCAGTTGAGTTGAGTCCCCTGCCCGGCGGTGGCACAACATGAAATTGCATCCAAAATACAAGAGCAACAACAATATTACACACATGTGCAGCAGCTATGCCCCTTCTCACTCTTGGGTCAGGGCCGCGGGGGGACTGCGGCACAACGGACATTCACATGCCGACATGTCGTCGTCGTCATCGTTGTTGTTTTTGTTGTTGCTGTTGCTGCCCAGCGCCAGCTCTCATAATCCGCTGCCTTTGCACTCGCCCGCGGCCCGCCCGCTGGCACCACGCACCCGCGCGCTGGCAAATAATTGCAGTGTCGCCACCGCTGCAGTCGCCGCCGCTGCACAGTGGTATCAAATGTCAAATGTCAGGCGAAAAACCGAAAAACCGAGTTTGTGTATTCCCCAAGTCTTCTTAAATCTCATTATATCGGAGAACAGGAATAATACATTTAATATTATATTTTAACTTGATCTTGTTTTGTATTTTCAAAGTATTTAATTAAAGTTTTCTTGAGAAGCTATCAAGGCGAATATTTAAATTCTCTCTGTAGCATCAATTCTTTTGAGATCAATTTGCGTCGCGCAATAAAAATAATATATTTAATATTTCTATTATTAATAATATTTTTTTTTTACTCTAAACTAGTTCAGCCACTCGTTCACAACAACTCTAAAGGTGCTTTTCCCCATTTAATATTATAAATTTACTATTATATGAATTTTCATATGCATTCTCTACACAACACACTAAATATATTCAAATTTCAGTTTCTGTGTTCTGGTGTTTAAGCGCGAATACGCACGAAATGCCAATTTGTGACACGAATCCAGCTCTCCGCAGCGAGAGTGCAGCTTAAGTTTTGGTCTAATTGGGAGGGTAGAGGAAATTAGTGTATTAAATAAAGTGTTAGCTTTGTGTTTGGGGCTAATCCAGCTGAGTTCGACGATAATCTGCTGGGCCAGGCATACCGAGATGCGTGTGGCACTTTGGCTAATTGCATGGTTTGGCACCACTGTGCGTGGCAAACACCGCCGCACAGCAAGTCACCAGATGTTCAATCCCATGTACATGCCGCTGCCGTTGTTGTTATTATTATTGCTGTGTTGCCTTTGCCCATACAAACCGTTGCGATCCGATCCGATCCGATCCGAGGCGAGGCGAGGCGATGCGATCCGGCAACAGCCGCAACCCTGGCCAACGGTCGCTGCACTGCAAGATGAAGACGACAATTCGGAGCTTATGTGTCAGGTGCGCGTCT